GGATTTAGAGAGTGGCTCCAAGCTAGGAGTGAAGGGCTAGACTCTCATTACCTGTAGATGGCTGAGTCTTTAGGACACATATGGATGAGACCAAAATTATAACTTAGGACTTCAACTTATGTGAATTTTGCAAGCAAGTTAGAGTGTCTTCTTTCTTTCCATTTTATCTATGTTATATAAGATTCATGTATTTCATATATAAATTTAGGAACGTAGTGACACCCCCACCTCCTGCCCACACTTACACCCCTCTTCCTCCTCCCTCTCCCATTCCCACTCTTAATTTTTACAAAGATCTACTGTCAGTTTACTTAATGATCTTAAGGTTAACCCTACACTAATAAAAGAATTCAGAAATTGTATGAAAAGAAAAAAACCACTGTTCCTCAACAGAAGAGACAAGGGCTGTAAAAATCATCTAATCTCAAATGTCCATTTCACTCCAATACATTATATTTTTAAAAATATTTATTTGAAAGTCAGGGTTACACAGAGAGAGAAAGGGAGAGAGACAGAGAGAGAGAGAGAGAAGAGGGGGAGAGAGAAAGAGAGAAAGAGGGAGGGAGAGAGAGAGAGAGAGGGAGAGAGAGAGGTCTTCCATCTGCTGGTTCACTCCCCAATTGGCCGCAGGGAGCTGTGACGATCTGAAGCCAGGAACCAGGAGCTTCCTCTGGGTCTCCCATGGCAGTGCAGTGGCCCAAGCACTTAAGCCATCTTCTACTGCTTTTCCTGGCCATAGCAGAGAGCTGGATCAGAAGTGGAGCAGCTTGGACTCAAACTGGTGCCCGTATGGAATACCAGCACTATAGGTGGCGGCTTTACCTTCTACTCCACAGTGTAGGCCCCCAGTACATTATATTTTAGGTACTCTCTTAGTTACCTCTCATCAGGGAAAACATACGATATCTGTCTTTTGGGGGCTGGGTTATTTCACTAAATATGATAGATTCTAGTTGCATCCATTTTATGATTTTACACCTCAACACACCTTCTGAGAGAAACAGATGTATTGCAGTACCCTTTGCAGCAATGCAAAGGAAAAAGAACATTTATAGATCCTCTTTTATATTTACACATTTGGAGGGCATTTACATGTTAGAGGAATACCAGCAACTTTTATAACAAATACTATAGAAGGAGATTAACATTCAATAGCTATACTCAGTCATGTCTCTGAGGATTTGGGTAACCTGTTTTGCCTAAAAAAGAAAAATACACAGCAACTCATTCTCTCAGGATAGATGTGAGTCTAGAAATCAGGTACAGTGTGTTAGACAATTGACGCATAGGATGAGTAGTCTCTTTTTATTCATAACTTTATTGACAAATTTGTCTGCTTTGAAGACCAAGTGTCTATTTGGCTTTTTGTTTTGGCAACAAAACAGTCTAAGACAGAAATATATGCTAACAAAGGCAGTCGTATTTCTCATCTTTTTGTCTACTAAAGTAGTATATTAAAGTTTTAGAATTTGCAGTGAAATATGGAACTGTATAGAATAAAATGTGAATGGTAAAATAAAAGGTGGGAAAATTATCTTTGCCTCCATAACCACACAGTAAAGGCAATTTCTGATTTATATATTCCAAAAAGAGTGGAACAATAAAGCTTCCTTGTTAAACACGATATAGCAACAATCTGGAGGCAGGTTTGCAATTTCAGTGTGCTAGTGTTATTTGCCAAATAGGTGGCCAGTCATGTTTGTTTGAAAGTACTACTGCAGTTGACAAAAAATTACAATTAGACTTCTGTGGAGTTTAATTGACAGTATTATAATATTTGTGCAATGTACATCTAGTACAGGAATAAAAGAAGGTTTTATAATTGCATACTAAAAATGAAAATATCATTATAACTTACATAAATCCTATAAATGAAAATATGATTTAATATACCTAGGTAAAGAAAAATACTCTTAGCTAGATTCACATAGCTTAGAGAAAATTAATTTACACTGATTAATATATTCACTCTTTCTCCATCTTTTATAATTTTACACATTTCCCCTGTATTCCAAGATTCTAGTAAATAAAAATCAAAATATAGAGATATTTTTGCATTTATTGCTGATTCATGTTTGAGATTTAATGTCACCTTATCACAGGTGCTGCAATCCTTGGGAAGCTTTGTTTATTTTTTTTTAACTTTTATTTAATGAATATAGATTTCCAAAGTACAGCTTATGGTTTACATTGGCTCCCCCCACCCTGATGACTTCCCTCCCACCCGCAATCCTCCCATTTCCCGCTCTCTCACCCCTTCCATTCATATCAAGATTCATTTTCAATTTTCTATATATACAGAAGATCAGTTTAGCATATATTAAGTAAAGATTTCAACAGTTTGCACCCACATAGAAACACAAAGTGAAAAATACTGTTTGAGTACTTGTTATAGCATTAAATCTCAATGTACATTAAGGACATTGCACATTAAGGACAAAGCACATTAAGGACAGAGATCCTACATGAGGAGTAAGTGCACAGTGACTCCTGTTGTTGACTTTACAAATTGACACTCCTGTTTATGGCATCAGTAATCTCCCTATGCTCCAGTCATGAGTTTCCAAGGCTATGGAAGCCTTTTGAGTTCTCTGACTCTTATCTTATTTAGACAAGGTCATAGTCAAAGTGGAAATTCTCCCTCAGAGAAAGGTACCTCCTTCTTTGAAGACCTGTTCTTTCCACTGGGATCTCAATCACAGAGATCTTTTATTTAGTTGTTTTTTTTTTTTTTTTTTTTTTGCCAGAGTGTCTTGGCTTTCCATGCCTGAAATACTCTCATGGGCTTTTCAGCCGGATCCAAATGCCTTTAGGGCTGATTCTGAGGCCAGAGTGCTGTTTAGGACATCTGCCATTCTATGAGTCTGCTGTGTATCTCGCTTCCCATGTTGGATCACTCTCCCCTTTATCTATTCTATCGGTTAGTATTAGCAGGCACTAGACTTGTTTATGTGATCCCTTTGACTCTTAGTCCTATCAGTGTGATCAATTGTGACCTGAAATTGATCACTTGGACTAGTGAGATGGCATTGGTATATGCCACCTTGATGGGATTGAATTGGAATCCCCTGGTATGTTTCTAACTCTACCATTTGGGAAGCTTTGTTTAAAAAGAAAAGGCTAAGATGGTTGGGCTGGTTGTTAAGACATCACTTGGGATGCCTACATCCTGTATTACAGTGCCTAAAGTTTTAGTTGTGGCTCAACTCTCCATTCCAGAGTCCTGGGAAGGCATACCCTGGGAGGCTACAGTAGTTCTTAAGTAGTTGGGCTCCTACTACCCTGTTCAGATATCTGTATTGAGTACCCAGCTCCAATGCTATTGTGGGAATTTAAGGATTAAACCCTCTCTCTTTCTCTCTCTGTCTCTCTATTTAACTCTAAAATTTAAAATGCTGAATTTTAAATGAAAAGAAATAATATTTTATGGATAATGCTAAAATCTCTTGAAGATCACATAATTCTCCCAGCTATTCATAATTTAAAAAATGGATTCTAGAAGAGAAAGATCTCCCATTGCTAGTACAATCCCCAAATTCCCACAATTGTTTGGTCTGAACCTCGGGTCAGAGCCAAGTATGAGATACTCAATCCAGATCTCCCATGTAGATGGCAAGGGCCCAAATACTTTAGCCATTTCTTTCTTTCTCACAGGATATTTATTGGTAAGAAGCTGGACTCAGAGGGTTGAAGCCATGAATGGAATTCAGCCAATTTGAAATGGGACTGTGGTATCTTAACTGGCATCTTAATCTTTAGACCTAATGTCCACCTTGTCAGCTAAATATTTGATATGCCATCTTCAATCACTACTCTGCAGGGAAAGGGCTATAACCCCACATTGTTTTAATTAACACATACTTTAACATGTGTGAGATTTTCCCTATAAGAATCATTGCTCAAAAAACATCAACTGCATGTTACACATAAACATGACAATGCTAGATATTGTGGGTGATGCAAGGGTAATGCATAACTGTATCTGACAACACTCTAGTGAGAAAAGGGGACATACGCAAAATATTTATATAATTTATATTACAGGTGAAAGCTAACTGTGATAAAAAAGAGATGAGTTTCAATGAAGAAGATGAAGCTGAGCTAAATGCAGGGGCTATAGGGGCCTGAAGTAGGTGGACATCTTCCAGAATTAAGATAGGATATGCTAGATGATAAAGTAGAAATAATTTAGTATATAAAGGCATAATTCATCCAATTTAATTGAAGTATAGACTAAATAAAATGAGGTAGTGAATGACAAGTGTGTGAAAACCATGTAGAAATGAAAACAAAAGCATTTAGTTAAGATGGAGCATTTTTGGCCGAGGCTCACTAGGCTAATACTCTGCCTGAGGCGCCGGCACCCCAGGTTCTAGTCCCGGTTGGGGTGCTGGAATCTTTCATGGTTGTTCCTCTTCCAGTCCAACTCTCTGCTGTGGCCTGGGAAGGCAGTGGAGGAGGGCCCTGTACCTGCATGGGAGACCAGGAGAAGCACCTGGCTCCTGGCTTCAGATCAGCGCAGCATGCCAGCCATAGCAGCTGTTTGGGGAATGAACCAACAGAAGGAAGACCTTTCTCTCTGTTTCTGTCTCTCTCTCTCTAACTCTGCCTGTCCAGAGTAAGACAGAAACACAAAGACGGAGTATTTTTGAATTGTTAGGCAATGGTATATCATTAAATTTTATCAGGAAAATAATATACTCACAATTTTATTAAGGATAAGATAGATTGAATAAAGGATGTGATTGATCATAGGAAGCAAAGTTAATAAACTCCAAAAATTTAATATTTCACTTTTTATTTTCCCATACCACTAATTACTCATTTTCCTGGATTTTATTAAACACATGCATATATATTATATTTATACATATATACACACATCAATACACAGCTTAATATAGAACTTTTATTATATCAAGAAAAAATATAAATGTGGATTAAGATAGAGCTTTTGTTTCATACAATGTTTGACCTCTATTCTTTTTCTAAAATTTCAGATATTTCATTATTCATATACTGCTTCATATGTGATTTACAACATACATACTAGGTAAGTTCTTTGGTTTTCTAGATTTTGTGGGAAATTGTTGGTGTAGATGTAAATTTTTTCATGTAAAAATATTTACATTTCTTCAAGGGAAGTTTGGGAGTTAAATCCTCCAGAAGTAGAGGACTCCGTCTTGCAGTATGCAGCCTGGGGTGTCCAGGGACAGCAGCTGGTAAGCACAGGTTTATGCACCAAATAATGTTGGTTGCAGCGGTTGGGATAATCTTTACAGAACAATTACCTTGTGAAAGTTGATGTTTTTCTAGGTTCTTTTATAGCTTTTACCTGATAATCTAACTTACATATCAAATGATACTAGTATTATAATATCAATTAAAAAAGAATAAATTTATTGAATTATATATAATTAAACTGTTAACAATGGAACTGGAAGAGATCGAAAGATAATAGGGGCAAGTCCTGTGCAATTTCTATTACCTACCATTATCAATTTTCAAATAAAACCCAAACCCAAAAGATACTATTCTTACTGCATTCTTCAGGCTAAAAATTTTAAACAAATTTTCAGTAGTCTCTTAAGAGAGTCTTTTTCATCAATTATTTTCTGAAGTTATCACAGATTAAAAAGGGAATTATTGATAATTTTTTGCATTTCTTTTTTTTTAAATCGTTCCAAAATTCTATATGTGTAATACCAACATAAAGATTTTCTCAAGGAGATTATGCCTGGGGACTGGTATTGCCTGCTTCTACAGCATCTGCATTCTCAAGTGTATTAAGTATTGCCAAATTGATTTCTAAATTTTCTGGTGTTTATAAACCTGCTAGGGACGATGAGAGAGTTTTATGTCCTTATCAGCACCTTGTTTTTCCTTTTTTAAAGCAAAATCATTTATTTGAGAGAAAGACAGACAGAAATAGATATTTGGGTCTGGTGCCCTAATAATTCTAAGAGCTGAGGCTGGGCCAGGGCCAGAGTTGAGAGCCTGGAAGCAATCCAAGCCTGACATGTGGGTGGCAGGAACTCAATGCTTGAGCCATCATGGATGTTTCCCAGGGTCTGAGCTAAAAGTGGAAATAGAACCCAGATATTCTGATATGGAATATGGGCCTCTTAGCACCAGACTGCTTTCTTCTCAAATTTTAAATTGGTATTAAATAGTGTTTTATGTGGCTTTATTAACAACATTCTTACTTTGAGCAAGGGTAACTTTTAAGGTAGTTATTGGCTAAGTTTGCATTGCCTAATATGTGAGAGACCTATTTTTTGCTCATCCTCATTTTTGTATTTTTTATTGCAAAGAGTTCCTTATTGTCCTGGTTATTAATACATTATTCAGCGTGTCTTCTCTCAGTTGTTGTCTTTATTTAAAACTGTCTGTTTTTCATTCTTCAACAGAATTTTGTAATGTATATAAACTGATTTCTCAACTATAAGATTTGTATTTTCTATTATTTAAGAAATCCTTACAATTAGATCCTACATTTTTATTTCAATCATGTTCTCATGAAATGATTCAAGTGGGTCATCCATGTCCTAGTCCTTGAACCATTTGAAATAACTTTTTGGGTATAGAGTTAATTCATTATCCATTTTTATGAACTTTGCAAATGGTCAACAATCAATCATCCCATTAACATTTTATTGACTGCTTCATCTGCAGTGTTATCTTCCATATGTATATGAGTATTTTTCTGCCTATTTTTTCAACATCTCTGTCCAAGTCCCAAGACAAATATGCATTAATTAAAATTCTGCTCACTAACAGATCAGGCCATTTCAAATGCTTTTTCCATTTTCTGATTGATTTTAGCTGTTCTTGACTTTTTCATCATTCATATGAATGTCAAAATAAGTTTGAAACTTACACACTTACTTTTGGAACTTGAATGGCATGACTTTAAAATTGAGCCAGTATTGGCAAATTAACTTCTCAGTGATTATTAATATTTATGTCCATAATCATTTTAAATATCTTCAGTAATTTGAGAGTTCTTTAATATAGCAACAATTTTTATAATTTTCTATCTAAAGATTTAAATCTTATAATTACGGTTGTTGTTTTGAATGCTTATATTTCTTAGTGTTTTAAGAATTGGTTTGTCACTGGTGAGTAGAAGTGTCCTCAAGTTATTTTTTGGTTTATGTATATAGCAACCTATATAAGTGTAATGATGTTTCATTTGTTAATTATGACATTTTATTCATTTCATCTTTTATATATTTCTATTTTTATAAACTAATTAATCACTAGGTAACCTATGAATGTACCTAGACATAGAAAAACTTTTTGTGTGAGATTTTAAAAATGGGAACTATTAGGACTGCAGGATTAAGTTTCAAAACTTCTTAGTTACTTTTGATTATTTGCTCACTTCGAAAAATGTACCCCACACAATTTTTCAATTTTTAGATTGGATTGACATTAGAGTGTTTCATTATCCTTTTCTTAGAATTTGTGTTACTTTTCTTCTTCATTCCTAATATAATTTGTAAGTACTTTATATTTTTCCTAATCACCTTTGGTAAGTATTTGTAAGTTTTATATTCGTCTTCTCAATGCTCAAGTTTTAAATTTATTTTATTTATAACATCAGTGTTTTCTTTATTTTCCAACATAAACATTAAAGATGATAGAATTCTCAATGAATTAATCCTAATCTTCACCCAATAAATTTGATAGTAGCATTAAATAGGACTTTAGTTATGTTTTCCAATTTCCAATATGATGTATTATTAAGGACAATTATATTGTCTGTTTTAAATTTATTTAAAAGGTAGAATTGGTTTAAGACTAATATGCAGAAGTCAGAAACAAGAGTTGATATTTACTTTGAAATGGATACAACTGGTTTTATGGCTTACTAGGGTTATTTATAAATGTTTTCTATATGAAAGATAGTTTTATGTATAGTGTCTAAATGTGCCTCTTAATTATCATATCCTCAAGACTTATGTTTCCTTACTAATGGTGGATATGTGATTTCTTTCTTTAGTAATCTGTCAAATTTGCATTCCATAGTTTGAAGCATGTTTTTAATAATAAGGAAGCTTTAAATGATAAATAAATCACAATGATTTTAAATTCTTGATAGTTAGACCAATGATTTTTTCCTATTCATCTTTAAAAATTCTAAGGAAAATATAACTATTTTCCACAATGTTTCTTAAGCTTATTGGTGAAATAGGAAATATTGCTAAATATTTCACATAATAGGAAGACTGTAGATTAACATAATATTACTGAATGTTACATGTTTTCATACAAACAAAATTCTAGACCATGGAATATTCTGTAAGTAAATATACAAAATAAATGGTTTCTGCTAGTGATTATTCATGTATCCTTGGCATGGTAAATTTTCCTCATATTTGACATAAGTAAAATGAGAATTAACTCTGCTTTGTGGCCTCAGTCATATAAATTTAAATTGTTTTAATTTATAAAATGCCTTTGGAATACTTTTTGTTTTCAGAAAATAAAAAGGGTCAAAAAAGAGTTATTGAGTAGTTTTCATGATAGACTGTTCATTTTTAAAAATCAGAGCTTTTCACCGGTGCCGAGGCTCACTAGGCTAATCCTCCGCCTTGCGGCGCTGGCACACCGGGTTCTAGCCCCGGTCGGGGCGCCGGATTCTGTCCCGGTTGCCCCTCTTCCAGGCCAGCTCTCTGCTGTGGCCAGGGAGTGCAGTGGAGGATGGCCCAAGTCCTTGGGTCCTGCACCCCATGGGAGACCAGGAGAAGTACTTGGCTCCTGCCATCGGATCAGCGCGGTGCGCCGGCCACAGCGCGCCGGCTGCAGCGGCCATTGGAGGGTGAACCAACGGCAAAGGAAGACCTTTCTCTCTGTCTCTCTCTCACTGTCCACTCTGCCTGTTAAAAAGAAAAAAAAACAAAAAACAAAAAAAATCATAGCTTTCATACAGGAATATTTCCAGAGAAATCTGTGCAGATTAGTTTAACATATGAAACATATCTTTCATATACATAAATGACATTTGTCATGTTTTGATTTATGAATTATTTTTGTTACCATTTCACCCACATAGACAGTTTGCTTTTATGCAATGTCAATTAGTCATTCATAATTTTCCTCCAGAAATCTCTTATTTAAGATATATAAGCTTCATGAATTTCATAAATACAACTTTAGAAACATAGTGATTCTTCCCATCCCCACCCTGACCCTTCTTCCTCCTCCTATTCCCATTCTTATTTTTTACTAAGATCTATTTTCTATTTTCTAATAACTTTATACACATAATATTAACTCTATACTAAATAAAGAATTCAACAAATAGTATGTTAAAAAAATGACCTCTTCCTCAACAGTGGACATAACGGCTGTTCAAAGTCATGGCATCTAAGTGTCAATTTCACTTCTACAGATTACTTTTAGATGCTCTGTTAGTTACCACAGATCAGGGAGAATATATGGCATTTATCCTTTTGGGACTGATTTATTTCACTAAGTATAATGTTTTCCAGTCCAATTGTTGCAAAAGACAAGGTTTCATTTTTTTTTATTGCTGTGTAGTATTCTATGGTGTACATATTCCATAATTTCTTTATCCAGTCTTCATTTCATGCACATTTGGGTTGATTCCATATCTTAGCTATTAGGAATTGAGCTGCAATATACATGGGGGTACAGATAACTCTTTCATATGCTGATTTAATTTTCCTTGGGTAAATTCCCAGGAGTGGGATGGCTGGGTTATATGGTAGTCTACATTCAGATTTCTGAGGTATCTCCATACTGTCTTCCAAAGTAGCTGTACCAGTTTACACTCCACCAACAGTGGATTAGAGTATACTTTTCCTATATCCTTGCTAGCATTTGTTGTTGATTTCTGTATGAAAGACATTCTAATGGTTGTGAGGTGAAATCTCATTGTGGTTTTTGATTTGTATTTTGCTGATGACTAGTGATCCTGTGCATTTTTTCATATGTCTGTTGGCCATTTATATTTCATCTTTTGAAAAATGTCTGTTAACATTATTTGCCCATTTTTTAATTGTTTATTCTGTGGTTGTTGAGTTTCATGAGCTCTTTGTAGATTCTGGATATTAATCCTTTAACAGTTTCCGGGTTTGCCATTCTCTCGGTTGCCTCTTCACTTTGTTGAGTGTTTCTTTTGCTGTATAGAAGCTTCCCAATTTGATGTAATTCTATTTGTCAATTTTCGCTTTGATTGCCTGTGCCTCTG